TGTAGCATCCTTAGACTCCATAATTGTACCGACCTTCATGTCAGGTACCTCAGATTTCACTACTAGAAATCTATAGCCAACACTACTCATAGCGTAGCCCAAATTAACACAGTCCATAGTCTTTGGTCCAAGCTTACGCTTTTTGGGGATCGGCACATTAAGTTTCGCCAAGCAGCCCCAAGTACGTAGGTACGAGAGTGTTGTCATTCTCTTGGTCCACTTCTCATAAGGAGTGATCTCGTTATCCTTTTGTCGGAACTTTATTCAGGACATGACATGATGTCATTATAGCCTCCCCCCACCATGCCTTGGATAAACCCGACGTATCTAACATGGCATTAACCAAATCAGTTAGAGTACGATTTTTACGCTCGGTAACCCCGTTTGACTGGGGTGAGTAGGGAGGCGTCCGTGAATAATACCGTGTTCCGCACATAAGGCATCAAACTCTTTCGAGAAGTACTCTCCACCACGATCTGACCGGACTCGTTTAATTTTCTTTTCGAGTTGATTCTCAACTTCTGCCTTATAGATTTTAATGTAGTGTAGAGCCTCATCTTTGGTATTTAACAGATACACATAGCAATATCTAGTGGAATCATCTATCAAAGTCATGAAATATTTCTTTTCCACCTTTAATCAACACACCATTCATCTCACAAAGATCAGAATGTATGAGTTCAAGTGGCGCCAAGTGTCTCTACTCTGTTGCCTTCTGAGGCTTGCGAGGTTGCTTAGATTGCACACACGAATGGCACTTATAACCTTTGGCTAAAGTGAAACTCGGGATTAAATTCGATTTTGCTAGCCGCGTCATAACACCAAAACTAATGTGACAAAGACGTGAATGCCAGACTTCAGATTCATTAACACTCAAATGAATATTGTTCACGACTTTATTACATAGATATGAAAGAGAAAGGCGGAACATGCCTCCGCATTCATAACCCTTTCCAACAAATAGTCCATATTTCGTAACAACTAATTTATTAGACTCAAATACCAACTTAAACCTTTCTCTACATAGAAGGGAGCCACTAACGAGGTTCTTCTTGATGGCGGGGACATGCTGCATGTTCTTCAGCTGCACGACCCTTCCCGAAGTAAACTTCAGATCAACCGTGCCAACACCAAGAACAGAAGCACTCGCGCCATTCCCCATCAGTACGGACTCATGACCTATGGCCTGGTAAGAAGAAAACAATGAAATGTCAGCACACACATGAACACACGCACCTGTATCGACCCACCAATCGGTGGACGACCAAACTGAAAATACAGCAAATAAATTACCGTACCCAGATGCACCACTCTCATTGTTGCTCACAATCATATTGACAGACTTGGAGTCTTGCCCTGGCTTCTTGTACTTGTTTGGGCACTTGTTGGCCTAATGTTCAACCGAACCACAAGTAAAGCAGCCCTCATCCTTCTAGTTCTTCTTGAAAGTCTTCTTACCTTTCTTCTTAAAGTCGGCATTCTGTTGGACACCGTTCTTTCCCTTGGGCTTGTGGGAATTGGAGTTCTTCTGATGTACCATATTGGCCACAAAAGTTCCTTCGACCCCTTTTCCTTACGAGTCCTTTGCCCTTGAATTCTGCTCAACACTCAGATGGCCAATGACATCCTCCATAGAGAATTCACGCCTCTGATGTTTCAGAGTGGTGGCAAAGTTCCTCCAGGAATTGGGGAGCTTAGCGATTATGCAGCCCGCGGCAAACTTGCCCGGTAACTCGCAGTTAAGAAGCTCAAGCTCCTTAATAATGCATATTATCTCATGAGCCTGCTCCAATACAGGACGGTTTTCAACCATCTTGTAATCGTGGAACTGCTCTATAATATACATCTCGCTCCATGCATCGGACAAGCATAGAGGTGCCGGAAGGCCGACAAACAACAAGGAGAAGGCGATGAATAAACATGCAGTTTTTGGATTAAATTAATCCATGAATAAACCATGAGCATGACATGGACAGCATTGATAACACACTAGTTACGATTTAACAGAGCATGTACTACGCACATGGTAGAAACATCTACGCATATCGGTAGTACTGCTACACCAGAAAGAAACACGAGAGAGATAAGTGATGTATACCCTCCAATCGGCCACGCGGCGGCGGTGACGGTGGCAGCAGCCGCGGCATCCTCGGCGACCTTCTTGTCGTCCTCGGCCTTCTCAGCGGTGGCACGGTCGGCGTCGGTCGACATGGTTATGACGAAGGTGATGCGGACGTAGATGAACATAAGCGAGCAGTCGCGTAGTCGCTACCCAAAAACCTAATCGCCTCTCTCCCGTACAAGATCCGGAGAGGCGGGGTTTCGGAGGTCTGCTCTCCCGTCAACCGTGTACGCGGTGAACAGGATGGAGTCACCGGCGGCAGCAGCAACAGCGGAACGACGTGAGCGTGGAGGCGGAGATGCGTTCTGTTTCGCGGCGGCTAGGGTTGGCACCGCCCCACATATATATGTGCGGCCGCGCGTGAAGAGACGTGAGTTGAACCCACGTCCAAGTCGGTAGCCCATGATCCGACGTCTCAGATCGTGGCCCTACATGTCCGTTGCTGACCGGCAAAAAGAAGCGCATAGGAGCGAGCTCGGCTTGATCTCGCAACCCGCGGCGCGTCGTGACGAGGCGAGCGGAGGAGTAGGAGTGCGCGAGGGCTTCTTCTCTTCTCAAGCTCCAATAGCATGAGGGTGAGAATCCCTTATAAACCACTCCAACTCTTCTTCCACTAGCATGGTGGGACTAAACTTCCCACCATCTTGTCATGCCACCTACATGGGCCCTTAGAGATTAAATCTGAAATTGTCATATGGGCTTTAGGCCCATCTCATATTTCAACAGAAGGCCCCATACAAAGGTCTAAGTAAACGAACCAAATTCTGCAGCATTTGTTGCCGCGAAGGCCACAAAAGGACCACATGCTTGGAGAGAGGGGGTGCATCGAAAAAGCCACGAAAACCCAGGAAATGCAAGAATTGAGGGATAGAAGGACATCGACGGAATACCTGCAAGCGGCCACTTGGTTTTGCCGATACTGAGCCATATGTTTTTCAGTCTGTAATATTGTTGTCGTTCTAAACGGGGGGTTTTCTAGTGTGTTTCGGTTGAGCACTGAAACTCAAATAGCATGAATTATGTTTACGGGGCCGTGTGTCATACTGTGTCTAAGAGCATGAATTATGTTTATGGTTGACTGAACTTCGATGAATTAATGGTCTTGCTTGTTGTTTCGCTGCATCTCTCAGTTAAATAAGCTGCAAGCTTTGAGCACGCTGCAGAGGGGTCATCTTTAAGCACGCTGGAACTCAAAGAAACGGCACAGCCGTGCCTGAAAAAAAGAAGATCAAGGGAGATTAATCAGAACTGAGCTGAACCACGGCTCGTTAGCTGAGAATGTGTAAAGCAAGAAAAAAAAATAGATCTACTTACATCGTAACGGATTTACTTGTAGAAACGCTGATGAGCATGCCGACCAGACCTTGCAACGTTGGTCTCGATTATCACAGAGTGGACAATTTATGGCGTGTGACCCTGACGACGTTTGGAGGGATTGTGAGCCGAGCATGGCTCAGGTGTACCGAGCCATCCTTCAACGACCCGTCCCGCAGCGACAGTGCAACGCTCCGTCGCAATGAATGCAGCGCCGCGACGGACAAAAAATCAGCATATACGGTCAGGGAATACAGTAAGGCGCACGGATCCACACACACGAACCATCGGTCTTGATTTCGGGACCAGCTGAGCCCGGGCTCAGAAACAGATTTTCGGTTTGGACATCCAATCCATGCGCTTGAAGGCCGAAATCACTAGTTAAGGAGTACTCCTTGCGGAGTTTTTCTTTTTTTTCTTAGATCTGTTTATTCAAAACGTTTTTTCTCTTAAACCGTGCGTTCAAATCTTGAACCGCTTTTGCTGTTGGATTCCTCGAGTCGAGAGCTTCAAAACTAGATCTCATATTGATAGGTTTTGACGAACATTTTTTTCACGAAAAAAACAGACGAAAAAACCGAACCAGGATCACGGGTTTTTTCCCTTTTCGAAAGATGCACGCTTCTGACGAAATCACATCTGTGCCTCTGACGAAATCACAACTGTGCCTCTCGCGGAAGCAAAGCCATGCCTCTCGTGAAAGAAAAAAACAAAAAATGTTTTTTTTCGTTTTCGAGGAGGCACGGTCGTGACTCTTGCGAAAGCACAACTGTGCCTCTCGCGGAAGCAAAACCGTGCTTCTCGCGAAAAAAAAACACATATTTTTTTCGTTTCCAAGAGGCACGACCGTGACTCTCGCGAAAGCACAACCGTGCCTCTCGCGGAAGCAAAACCGTGCCTATCGCGAAAAGAAAAAAAGAAAAAAACATTTTTTTTCCGTTTCCAGGAGGCACGGCCGTGCCTCTCGCGAAAACAAAACCATGACTCTCGCGAAAAAAATGCATTTTTTTGCGCAAATTTTTTTCCCCGAAATTTTTTTGGTCGAAAAGTTAGGGAAGACCGGTGGAAAACCAAAACGGAAAAAATGTTTAAAAAGTCAAAAATGCGTATGGAAAAATATAAAAAATCGGAAGGACCGACCAGAGCGCGACACGTGGCGAATGGCTGAGAGCGCGTCAAGTGACGCTGATCATTGCGAGGCTCCCAAAAAAGCGCTCGTTAATTAGTTGCTCTCTTGTTTTGCGCAAGGGCTCGTGTCAAAAAACTTCCAACCACGTCCTCCTACCTCGCCCATTTGCGGAGAAGGCTAGATACACAGCGGCCCGACAAAGCCGCAGGCCCAGTGATATAATAACACCGCCAGCGGCCCATGGCCCAGGCGGCCGAACGCGAAACAAAGCGAGGGGAACGCCACCCAAACCCTAGCGCTCCCTTCGCCTGCTCTTTCTTTCTTTCTTTCTCCCCTCTCGCCGTCGTCGCCTCCTCCTCCTCCTCTCACCCAAACCCTAATCTCCTCTCCCCCCCGCGAACCGAGGCCGCGGGCGCGCAGGCAGGCGCGGGGCAAATGGCGGGCAAGGAGGACAGCCGGATCTTCGTGGGCGGCCTCTCGTTCCACACCGACGAGCGCAAGCTCGAGGACGCCTTCCGCCGCTTCGGCAAGGTCGTCGACACCCAGGTACCGGACCGTCGCCGCGCCCGCTCCGCGCTTATCCTCAGCGCATGCTTTCGCTTGTTGTTTTTTATTATTTCGTGGTCATGTATGTGTATATAGCTGCTAGATCTGCGGAATTAGAGGGTGTTGAGGGAAGAACGGTGAATCTGATGCACATGGCCAAGGTCTAGGTGCTGATTTTTCTAATTCTCTTATAACTTATATAAGTGATAGGTCTAGGTGCTGCCTTCATCCCGACTTACTGTGGATCCGAACAAGGCACATGAGCTCAGAGTTTGGTCTCGTGTAGTTAAAACTGGCTCAATTTTCTAGGTTAATACTACTTGACAGTAATGGGCTTTCCCACTTTTTTGACACTGTTATAGTGTCAAAAAACGTCTTACATTAAGTTACAGAGGTAGTATGTCAAAACGCACAGTGTAGTATGCTATCTTCTCAAAATGAATAAACACCGGTGCTAATTAGTATTTCCTCTCTTCCTAAATATAAGTCTTTTTAGAGATTCCAATGCAGACTACATACGGAGCAAAATGAGTGAATCTACACTCTAAAGTATGTCTATGTACATCCATATGTAGTCCATGTTGAAATCCCTAAAAAGGCTTTTATTTAGGAACGGAGGGAGTAGAATTTATTGCTAACGAGATTTTCTTATATATATAGCGTTCTTTAGTTTGTAGCCTCATAAGGAATGCTCACAGTATTTTTCTCCCCCTTCCTTTGCTGGCGCTGATGGTTATTTTTCTCAGCCACTTGCTTTGTGAAGCCAAATGAGCTGGCACATTTGTGAAGTTGGATAGAACAGGGATTCTTTTGTTTGTTTGTCGAAAGATCAGCTTTGCAGAGAACAATCATGAGTGTTTTGTGCGGAGAAAGCAGCTGTTAACTGCTCTTTGAGGGAAAACTTAGGCTTGAAATTGCTTTACCAAGAGGTCGTGCTGGTGCTGTTTATCGCAGTTAGATGCCTGAAGTGAACATCAGGGCCTGTGAAATTTGATCCAGTAATCTGGGAACCCTTGATCTGTCTTGCTCGTGGCTGTGTTCTGATACCTTCATTCAGCTTGTGGTCTGATAGAAGAAACAGCATGTTCTTACAGTGGTATTACTTGACAAGAAATGCCTTCAGTGGTTCTTTGGCTTTTGCGGTTCCATGCATGCCCTGTGATTTTGATAGTCTACTATGCCAACACCACAGTCAGTAGTCTGCAGTTGGGAAGCGGCTCAACAGACAGTCTGTTGTCTGATGGAAACCTGAAGACATTTTTCAGTCTTTCATGTTTAACTGATTTGATCTCTTGGTGATATACATTAAAATATTTGTTGTCTGTTTTGTGTGGTTGTGTTAAATATTAAGAAACCATGTAACCCATTTTAAAATCCTGTGCCATCTATGCGACTAGAATTCTACACATATGTTGTCATGTTTTTCTATTCTTGAATCTTGATACGAGTGCCATGATTTGTTTGGTATGTCAGTACTCTGTTCGTTGGCCAAAAAATTGTTCTGTTTTCTGCTCCTAGTTTCTAAGAGCATGTTGCATTATCTTTTCTGTAATCACCATATTCCCAATCATTTATCTCATCATACCATATATTCATCTGAATGCCTTTTCTTCAGTTGTTTCTTTCGCTTTTTGGTTTGTAGTCATAGCCATTTTTTGTGACAAGTTGGGTGCAAAACATGTTGTAGTGTGCAACCTGATCTTATTGGCTTAAAAATAATTTAAGGGATGTCGTTGCAAGCCAAGGAATCATGTAGTAGCAGTTGGTAACTTTTGTTATGAAAACCGAGGGAAGGTGAAATCCAGATTTGTTTGTGGTTCGTCACGACATTGGTGCTGTGTAGTGCTCATGGAATGACAGTTGAAGGATAGCTGCTGAAGCAACATTTGATGTCAGCACTTCTCACAACCAACCCCACACATTTGGCATGTCATGCTTGTTGGATATTGCCAACTGCTGTCTCCATGTGTTGTTTTGCTATGTTTGAAGATTCTCTCGTGAGCTTATCTACCAGACCAGCATGCCAGTGGTTCAGACATCGGTGATGGGCCTGACCGCCTGAGAATGTTGTTCTTGTTTAGCTTCTGACAGAGTAATTCACTAATTCATGGTGAAAATTTAATAGATGGATCTAACTACTGAAGTGGTTTATGCATTTAGTCATAGCATGATATGGTATGAGTGGGAGTGTTACAAACCTTGAGGCACACTTGGTTGGCGGTAGCCACTTTCATGCCAATTGAAGTTCCTTGCTTCTCAGTTAGTACTTGCTGCAATTAGTTTAGTTGATATGAGATGTGCTATAGGGATCCAAACACGACAGGATTATCCAGAGCAGTCTAGTAAATATGGGTAACAGCAAAAGATGGTAGCAGCAAGCATTGTTTGGTTGCTCAAATGTTTGTTTGCCTGACTGGTTGTCAGTACAACGAGCTTTGCTCTCTCAGGATATGTTCAGTCAGAAAGGTAGTTACAGTTACACTCGGCTATGTGACAGTTTTGATTTGTTCTGTTGAATTATGAAACTCTGGAATAACCTAATCCCAATGCTGCTCAAAAGGTAATTCTGTCAACCATCCTAAATTTGACCACAAGTGATTTTTACGAATGGTTGTCTACCTCACACATTCTTATTTCATGTATATCGTGACTACTTTTTCATTTCCTTGGTTGTGTCGCTGTTCAGTTGGCTTTTAAGCTTATGGTTATTCATTCAAAAGAGAAAGCATGTTTCTTTCTATGAGACTTGGCTGCTATAGACCTGCAGCTGTTTGTAGTGATTCGTTTTGTTACCTTGTCAAAGCACGTTTTCCAGCTGCTTTATGCTACACTTTCAAACAAAGTATGACTTGAAATGTTGTGGTAATGAATACATGATATTATTTACTATTTTTTTTGCCCTTTACTTGTCGCTGAATTTAAATTACCAGTTTCCAGTTTCTTATATAATCCTATATGCTCCAGTTTCAAACAAATTATGGCTTGAAATGTTGCTGTAATGAATCTGTGTTATTATTTACTGATTTTTTCCGCCCTTTACTTACTGCTGAATTTAAAGGTCACATTTCCAGTTTGTTTTGTGTTTATAAGCTGCTATATGCTACAGTATCAGACAAACTATGACTTGGAAGTGTTGTGGTAATGAATCCGTGTTATTGGTCACTGATTGTTTTTGCCCTTTACTCATTGCTGAATTCAAAGGTCACATTTCCAGTTTGTTTTGTGTTTATAAGCTGCTATATGCCACAGTATCAAACAAACTATGACTTTGGAAGTGTTGTGGTAATGAATCCGTGTTATTATTTACTGATTTTTTTGCCCTTCACTCATCGCTGAATTCAAAGGTTTTGCAGCTGCTTACCATTTGGCTTTGCTCTGTATGTAGGCTGATTCTCGAGTATTTCTTATTGCAGATCATGCTGGAGAGGCACACAAACCGGCACCGTGGCTTTGGCTTCGTGACGTTTTCAGATCCCAGGGCAGTTGAGACTGCTATCAATGATATGCACAACAAAGAGTTAGATGGTCGTACCATTTCAGTGAACAGGGCTGAGCCGAAGTTGCAAACGGATGACACACGGTACAGCAGTGGTGGTGGCGGTGGTGACCGTGGGGATTATCGTGGTGGTAAGGGTGATGGCCCACCCCCTGGCAATTGCTTTGAGTGTGGCCGTGCTGGTCACTGGGCTCGTGACTGCCCTAACCCTGGTGGCGGCCGTTCTGGGCGATTCCCTTCCAAGTTCAGTGGCGGCGGTGGCAGGGGAGACCGCTTTTCTGGATCAGACAGGTTTGGCGACCGTTACGTGGATGATCGCTATGATGGTGGCCGTTATGGTGGGTACCGTGAGCCTATTGACAGCAGAGACAGATATGATGGGGGCCGTGATCGTTATGCCAGTGACCGGTACCCTTCTGGTGGTGACCGCTTTGGTGCAGACAGGTATGGAGCTGCTCCGGACCGTTATGCACCAAGTGGTGGTGGAGGCGGCTATGGCAGGGAGCGGGAGAGAAGCTACGAGAGAGATGGACTTCGTGGTGGTGGCGGCGCCTATGACAGGAGTGGCCCAAGGGGCGGTGCAAGCTACGACAGGGACGGCCCAAGGGGCGGCATCGGCGGTGGCTATGACAGGGACGGTCCACGTGGAGGCGGCGCCGACTATGGCAGCGGAGGGCCTGCTCGCTACGAGGGAGGAGGTTACAGGGAGAGGCCTGCGCCGTACGACCGCCCCAGGGGAGGAGGACGCTTCGACGACCGCTACTAGTGACCGACCTGTTGCTGCAGTCGAGCTATGTACTTGCGTTTTTAATTCTTTCCAGTTTGGCATGGCCGAATGCTTGATGAGTACTCTGTCGGCACGGTTATCTCTTTTCTGTACTGCGAATGTTACTCCTTGGGCAGTGGTTGAGTTTACCCAGCAGACTGTTTGCGTGCTGCGTTGAATCTTCCGTGCCGTGGCAGTTGGCTGTTGTCACCTTTGCTGGATGATGGTTTATGTACTGCTGCATGATATTATCAATCCGAACTTATGAAATCCTGCTGCTCTGCTGTGGTTGATGTGAATTCCTGCTGCTCTGCTGTGGTTGATATGAATTCCTGCTGCTCTGCGGTGGATGAATCTGATGGCTCGGTAATCTCTATTCTGTACCAGAAATGGTACCACAACTAGTGTTTATCCAGCAGACCGAGCCTGCTATGACCTGGTTGTTTTGGCTGTTGGCTACTGAATGTGGTTGCTGAACTTGTGCATGATTTCATTGATCTGAATTTATGAAATCCTTCCGGATGACTTGGAGAAGAGTGACCAAAAAATGTTGCTTTGAGACAGAGCATCATGTTTTGGCGAATGGGCTTGTCTTCCATCACGTGTTATTTACAAATGTAGAAAAAGTTTTTTGTTTTTGTTTAGTCCAGTGTTTCTGTAAAACTGCTGTGAAAAATGTACTCGAGTGTCGACCCTTCGTGCTATGGATGCAAACTTACTTTTTGATTCAAAACACATTTGAAGTTTTACGGATTCACCATGCCTCTGAATCTTGTGCCTCTTTATAACTTCCGAGAGGGCGCGCTGTAGAACCGAAGGCGTACGAGATTGAACTCTTGTTGCCGTCGCACGGTTAGTCCAATCGGCAGCGGCAACAAGAGTTCATGCGATGCGAGGACGCGCGCACTATGGATGCGGAGACGGCGACAGGTCTCTCCCTGTGCGCGCGTCCTCGCATCGCATGACCTCTTTCTTATCCGAAACCTTGTTCCCCGTCTCCCTTTCTTCCTCCCAATTGAAATGGGCCCCGCCAACCGCCTCCCGCTATACAAGGAATGACAGACAAATAATCCTAATCCACTCCGCCTTTTGTTATTCCGTGGCAAAGTGATGTGTGCTCAGGCAGGTTTGCAGCCACCAATGTTCACATGAAATTGGGGGCGCATTCACGTGCTGCAACCATAGCATATCACGAGCAACCGATCAAAAAAAAATATCTAAACCCGTAGGAATAAGAAAAAAAAACATGCATGATTGCGATGTAGTATACTCTAGACCTACTGAATCTTTTGGTTCCTGCTTGGTTTTCTGTTAATTATTTGGTAACTCTTTTCCTCTCCAGAATAACTGCAAACACCATATAAATAATAACTGCTTTTCCATGATTACCATTTAAACAATAATAACTGTAAACACCATATATACATTTTACGAAAAAAAATGGAGATGTTATTTTTATGGTCAAAAGATCAAATCCCCCGTGTTAGATGAAATGTAAAGATGTTTCTTTAAACAATTAAAGCAATATTTTATTGAATGAAGACGGCAAAAAGTTGTAAGAGAATGGGAAATGTTTTTAAGAAAAAAGGGGAAAGAGAAACGACTACAATAGCTAGCGAACGTTCGCTCGGAGGGTTTTTAACGTGAACGTTTACGATGACAAGTTTAGTTGCCCCTGCCGTTGACGTTGGAGACCGATAGTTCTGAAGCGGTCGCTTTGGTGAATCCATCTATGCCCAACACATCCCGATATTCGTCTAGGGTTCAGGTTATTCGAGAACTCATCGAGGAAAGAGATGTATCTATTATTAAGATAAACCGCGAAGCCAATTCTGTGAGTCACGGCTTAGCGAAGCTAGGTAGAGAGCAGGTGAAAACGGCAGTGTGGCTTCGTAATTTCCCCCCGGAAATTGCCGCTGCCATGAACTCTGATTGTATCTCTATTGTTAGCTAATATAAATACTCTTTCCCCGCAAAAAAAAAATAGTTGCATGGGATGGCAGTTTCTTCAGAAACGCATGGCAAATTCTAAAAAAGAAGAGAATTTTTGTGGCAAAAGCCAAACGTGAACTGCCGTCTCCCACCACGTACAAGTTGTCACACAAAAACGTTCGCTTGCCGTCCCCTCCCAGCAGTCATTCGACAGTTATCTCCACTCCTATAAAAATCTGAATTGGTGATAATGGTGTGCCTTCCATTTTTCATCAATAGCCGTCGGATCTAGATCTGACGCATACAAAGCAAACTGTTGCAGTTTTGCAAATAGATGCCCACATTTTTTTCTTCATATTTACAAACAACTCCTTGTCTCTCCCAATCAGCCTTGTCTCTGCCCCACCACATCGAGAAGGCCATGGAACAATCTAATGTTCCGTATAATGCACATGCATCTTACTAGTCAGTACAAAGAGAAAAGGGCGGAAGGAAAACAACGTTACTTTTTATTAGGGAAAACAATGTTACTATTATTGGCTTGTACATAATTTTCTTTTACATTTTTTGAACAGTTGGACTAAAGAGGGGGTTGAATTGAAAGAAGTGAAACTGCCACTTATCTTGCAAGTAAAGTAAATAATAAGTAGTATTTTTGTAATATCTTCCTCAAATAAATCCCTCTCTAGGAAATACAAAAAGAAGTAAAAGAAAAAAAAAACATGCCCCCCTTCCTGCCTGTCTTCCTCCCCCCTTT